CCCCCGGCGGGCTCCGGGGACCGCGCCCTGGCCGAGTTGTTGTTGGAGTTCTCCCGGGCACAGTACCGCGCCAAGGACGGCGGCGGTGCCGCCGCTAAGGTGAGGGAACCGGTACCGGGGTGGGGGGGATAGGGCTGGGGACCGGTGGCGGCGCGGCGGGCGCTGACGGGATGGCTGTCCGCAGGTGGAACGGATCGAGAGGCGCTGCCTGGAGCTCTTCGGCCGCGACTACCGGTACAGCGTGATCTCCAACGCGCACGGCGAGGTCTGCGCCCACTACCCGCGGCACATCGTCCTGCTGGAGCGCGATCCCGGCCGCGACCCGTAAGGCCCCGTTCCCTCCCCCGGTCCCCGCCCCCGCGGGGCTGATTGCCGGGGAGGGCGGCTTCGCGTTTTACCCTGGGGAGCTCCCGCGCCTGCCGGCAGCCCGCTGCCGCTCCGGGGCTCCCGCCGGTCGGGGGAAGCCCCGCCAGGCTGCAGCTAATTATAGCCGGGCGGTGTTCAGCCGCGGGGTGCGCCGCTCCCGGGGCAGCCCTCGCCGCCTGCCGGGGCTACCGAGCTCCCGCGGGGCTCCTCCGAGCTCCCCGAGCCTCTTGGGCTCCCTTGGTGAGAGCTGCTAAGGGGAGCTTGGGGGGGGTGCGGAGGAAACGGGGTGCTCCCCTGCCTGCCGGTTGCTGTGCTGCGGCTGAGAGCTCGTGGGTGGGAGCAGGACTGTGTGGTCACGGAATTGTTGGAGTTGGAAGGGACCTTCTAGAGATCATCCAGTCCAACTCCCCTACCAAAGCAGAGTTGCCCAGAGCGCATCACTCAGGAGCATCCAGGCGGGGCTTGAAGATCTCCAGAGAAGGGGACTCCACACCCTCCCTGGGCAGCCTGTTCCAGGGCTCTGGCATCCTCACCCGAAAGTTCTTCCTCATTTTTGAGTGGAACTTCCCATGTTCCAGCTTATGCCCGTTTCCCCTCGTCCTGTCACTGGAAACCACTGAAAAGAGTCCGGCTCCATCTTCCTTCAACCCACCCTTTAGATACTTGTAAACATAGATGAGGTCTTCCCTCAGCCTTCTCTTCTCCAGGCTAAAGAGCCTTTCCTTGTAAAATGCTCTCCCCACCTTCATGAAGTGCCTGTGGTCCTGCTGGGAGGCCTCTGAATAAGGACATTTTAGTCTGGAAAGCGTGTCGGGAGGGGTAACGGAGCTGGACAGATGAGGAAAGCTCCACAGAAATAATCTGCCCCCACTACGGCGCATGGGTCAGTGAGGGCTGAGGTTTAGTGAGTTAACGGGAAATGCTTGCTGGCAGTTCAGTGCAAGCCTCAGCCAACACGTGTCTGGACTTTGACCCACAAGCTCAGGATCAACGTTGGTTCTGCTTCTGGTCAAGGGCTGGCTGCTCCCTGTGGCTCTAACAACGACCTCTCATTTTTTATTTTCTCTTCCAACAAAAGATAATGCGATTTTGGAGTCTTAACCGGGTTTGTGACAGGAGTAGAACGTTCAAAAGGACAGTGGTGACCAAGTTCCCCTCCAGCTGCAAATGTGCCGTGCTGGCACATGGGCCAGGTGGTGTAGGAGGGGGTCTTTGGAGAACAGCCACAACTGATTGTCAGGTGGGAGAATTTCTGCTTAATGGTTAGATCAGCTTAGAAGAAATGAAATGCCTTGCTGCAAAAATAGGAAAGCTGAACTCTGAAGCTGTAAATGTAACTCGGAGTGTCTTTAGGGAAGAGAAACCAAATGCTTCTGCTTTTCCTGTTCTTGTAAGAGCAAAGGATGCTTAATTTTTCTGACAAGTATTCAGAACAAGTGTACTTACACTCAGTGCCCTGTTTTCTTCCGTGACTTTTGCAAGCCAGCAGTGGCAATTGACATTTTAAATATCGGTTATTTCCAAGTCTTGATTTGCTCTCCTGGGGAGTCACGGAAACAGACTACCCTTCATCATCCCTCTCCTCCTGATTTCTTCTTCATCCCACTCCTCCTGAGTGATAATCTCTGCAAAAGTCACTAAATTATTTTAGACAAATCCGGTTTTAGTTGCATCATTGTACTTTACAGAATAATTATGAAATAGACACTGTTGCACTTCTTGTGTTACGGAACACAAGAACCTCTTCCCGTGCATGGGACACTTCCTCTAGGACCGAGTGTCTTTGGCTGCCTTTCATCTTTCTAATGTTCTTAATCAGCTGGTAAGGTCTCCTTGAAGTGTTCAGGACGCTTCACATCTCTGAGAATACCAAGGTTTTTTGGAAGCAGTTCTTGCTTATGTGGACCCTTTGCTGCCCCGTCGGTTCTGCTGGTACAGCTGCTTCTGAAGCCGTGTGGGGAAACAGCAAAAAGTGGGTATTTTTAACCCAGGTCAGTTTCCTGATCCTTTTTGTTCTGTGGCCAGGCAGCTGGGGAAGAAAGGATGTTGCTTCATCACACTTTGCTAACAGTACTCTGAAATCCAGGTGGGTGCAGGAGGTAGCGGGAGGAATTGGAGGTGTATTTCTGACTGTCAACCCAGGGGCTGCTTGCGAGGAGCCCCAGAGGGTTGCAGGGCACGTCTGGCAGGCAGGAGCACCTTCCCTGTGCTTGGAGAACTCTGACGTCCCCCCAGGCAGACGCTGCAGGGAGAGGAAATGGAGCGGTGCGATTTGCTCACTGTCTTGGAGTTACTGTGACTGCGCTTCATGAAGATGCCTCGATCTTGGGCACAGGCCACGACTTTGGTTTCACCTGTTAGGTGTCTGCACTCCAAATAAATATGATCACAGTTGCACGTAATCTAAGTGAGAGGAACGCCTTGGTTCCAGTGCTGTTATGGCTACCCAAAGGGAAGCATCTCTGCTTCAAGCCTGTATAAAATACACAGTTGCCAAAATAGTTGCTTGCTCTTAGAGGAAATGTTTCCCTTGCATTTCAAGAAGTGAACTCAGGTTTGGGGGCTGATTTGGTGGAGAGGGCCAACGGGATTAACACAGAGGTCAGGTGGCCCAGTAGTATCTTCTGGAAGACAAACTTCTGAAAAAACAACACGCACTTGAATGTGCGAAAAAATAAAGAGATAAGATGCACGTCACTTCTTCCACCCCATTCTCTTCCTTTTCCAAAGAAGCCTTAATGATGTTCAACAGCTGTTGAAGAGTCCCCTGTTTTCTGAACCCTTTTTGGTAGATTTTGCTCCTGTCTATGCTGCATTTAATTACTTTTCCCTGTAAGAGCGTTGCACCCATTCCTCAGAGCAGCCTTTTCCCTTGCCACAGGAGTCTCAGTACAAGTGTGTTTAGTTACCATGTTTATCTTTAGTTCATGTTTAGCTTTACTAATGGTGGTTCTTGAGAAGATCCACGAGCCCTTTTGTCTCTCAGCCATGATGGATAGCAGAGCGAGTCTCGCCAGTGCCTGTGCAGGCTTCCCAGGGAACAGGCAGAGGAGCCTTGGAGAGGGACTCATTCTTCCGTGGGCTTCCCGCTCGCCCCGTGTCCCGGGTTCCTGCCAAGCTGCTGTGACTCCCCAGGGCTGTGATGCCTCTCCGGGGAAGCACAGTTGGTGTGCTGAGGGGTGAAACGTGTTGGCTCGTCTCAGCTCCTGGGGAGGCGCTTCTCTTGTAATTTCTGATCTTCCAGGCATTTAATTTTTGCTGATTCCCATCTTCTGCACTTGGAAGCAGCACCACGGAGCTATTCTGGTAACACCATATTAAAGTTCTTATTTCCCTCTGTATTTGCTTTTGCAAAGGAAACACGAAGACAGCTGGAGCATAGTGAGGGATGTGTCTCTTAATTGCATGCATTCATTTAAAAACAACCCCAAGACCAAATCTGTACATCAGAATCCCTTAAAGTTTCAGTTTGGTGTTGGGAATTATAGATGAAGCCTCTTCTCAAACTGCTCACGGGCCATTCCTGTGTTGTGTGTTACTCTCATGCTCTCTGAGCAGGGAGGCAGATTGCAGAGCAGAGCTCTTGGCTGTTTGCAGTTCATCAGGTGCCTGCACACCATCTCACATACTCCCCTGTAAAGTATATTGTGTTAGCTTTTTCCTGTCTTTGCACTTACCACCCTTGTGTCCACAGCATTTCAATCAGATGAGCTTGGGTTCTTGTTCTTTAAATTCTGGTATATGTCAAAGCTCTTTGGGACTGGACAGCTGAAATAGTGACGAATGAGTTATGAAACACATGAAATATACTAAGACTTGGCTATGAATTCTGGGAATTGAGTCCTTTTTAAAAATAAAAAAAAAAGACTAGGATTTAGAAGGTCTTGGTTGCTGTCTCCCCGCTTCCACCAGCACCACCTGTGTAATCTTTTCCATAAACAGATCGATTTCCATGTTAATAATAGATTATTTTTTTAAAATCCTTCACAGAATGTTGTATAGCAGCGGAAGCAATTCTTAAAGAAGTGTCCTCTTGCTTGCTAACTTCAGAGCTGGCTTCTCTCTCCACTAGGTTTGAGAGCACTGTCCAGGTTGGCAAACTGCAGGACCTTATCAACCGAAGTAAGATGGCGAGGTGTAGAGGACGATTCGTTTGCCCGGTCATTCTGTACAAGGGGAAGGTAAAGCTTCATGTCTTCAAACCTGTCTTAACTTAGAGAATGACCTTTCTCCCTGCCATTCGGACTGTGCAGCCATGTCTTCGGTCGGTTGTCACCTCTCTGAATGGTATAAAAATCTGTTCTTAGGTACAAGCACCAGCCTGTAGTAGTAGGTAGCATTTGCTAACTAGGTTGCATAAGTCATCTGTGGTGGCTTCAGGCTTTTTACCCCTCCATGTCATGAGCATTGCACCAGAGAGCTAACATTTTCTCCATATTTATGTTCCTTCCTTCTGAAGGACCAAAGATGTTTGGTCTTTGAGAGGGGAAAGACAGATATAGAATCATAGAATCAATCATCTAGGTTGGAAGGGATCTTAAAGATCATCTAGTCCAACCATCAACCTAACTCTGACAAAAATATAAATAAGAAATAGGAAATAAAAATTACTAAACCATATTCCTGAGGACCATGTTTACCCGTCTTTTGAACACCTTCAGGGATGGTGCCTCAACCACTTCCCTGGGTAGCCTATTCCAATGCTTGATAACCCTTTTGGTGAAGAAATGTTTCCTGATATCCAATCTAAACCTCCCCTGGTGCAACTTGAGGCCATTTCCCCTTGTCCTATCTCCTGTGACTTGGGAGGACAGTCACTTTCTACCCCTTACTCTTCCCAGCAGTGAGCTCCCTTTCAATAACTTTTCTCTCTAAAGAGAAGTTTCCCTTGTCTGTTCCCTGGGGAGGCAAGATTGCATAAATGGTCTTATGAATGTGTGGGCTTGTCTGCAAGGGGATCTATAAAAAAGTGAAATTAGATTCATTTTATGTGGATTACTTAAACTGTATTGGAGCCCTGTAGTAGTCTCATTTAGAATAAAAGTAGCTTAATTCAGTTTTCTTAGTTCAATTTAGAAACACTGTATGAATAGCAAAGTCATACCTGTGACAATTTTAATCTAGCTTGACTGAAGCCATCGTGGGTTGAACCTGCTGACCTTTTTCTGCAGGAGTGAACTACCTGGAGTGGTGCTGGGACCATCCATAATCTTATCCACAGGAATGTAGAAATAAGGCTTAAGCAGGGTATTAACAGAACATGGATGTTGCTAAATTGGCAGGAATTGACTGTATTAGCGAATTGGAGAACTGGAGATGAAAATGTGATTTAAAAACTAGCTACAGATAAAGGCACTTGGGAGTTTGATGTGTTTGGAGAACTCAATCTGGACCAGGGTTGCAGGGAGGCTGCTGAGAGGTGGTAGCTGTAGGTACCAACCATTTCTATGTAACGTGACAGCAAATAGGCCAGAGACCTGGGAAGGGACAGACTCCTGGAGCGTGTGTGGTTACTAACAAAATCTTCCTCCAGCATATTTGCAGATCAGCAACACTGGCCGGCTGGGGAGAGCTCTACGGGCGCACTGGCTACAACTATATCTTCTCAGGTGAGTGAGGAGCCATCTGTGGTTGGCTGCCTGGTTAGGCTGGGACAGTGTCCTAGACATAAGACCAGGCTCTTCCTAAGAGTGGGTGCAGAGCTCTGGCATGGATCCACTAGTATCAGGCTCTGCATAGTAGGGCAAAGCCTGAAATCTGTCCATTTCCAAGCACCATACTACTGGACAGAGCACCATACATCATAAGAAGGAGCAGCAAAAGAACTTGAGCCTGGAGAATGAGTTATGGGAAGTGTGTAGGCAAGTAAGGCAGCCCAAAGGAGTCAGGCTGCTGATCCCCAAACATTGAGGATGGGAATAATGGAAGAAAGATGATAAGAACTTGCTATTGCTTGGTTAATCATTGGGAATCAAATCCTGCTACTGATGTGATATAGTGGGCTCTAGGGAAAGATCCTTGGGGAATATTGGGTGTCTGTAACGTGGAAGCTGAAGCTTGACTTTACAGAGCACTGTGTAGCACTACTGGGGTGTCATTCTGGCTGACAGTCGTGGGTTTGATCCACATAGGTCCTTTGCAATGACAAGGAAAAGGTGGGCTGCGTTAGAAAATGGGCTTTTCATTAAGAGAAAATGCAGGGAACTATTCAGAGCACTTATGTGAGGAGAGAGGACACCAAACCATGACCGTTTCAGGCGTTTGTGTGTCTTGTCAGGTTGGGGTTGAATTGGTTTACACAAATTTCAGTTCTTAATGCCTTCTTGCAGGGGGTTCTGACGATGCTTGGGCAGATGCAGAAGACATTTCAGAGGAGGATTCTGCACTTAGGTTTGTATGCATCACTGGGAGAGGAAAAAGGGAGTTTGGACCATGGCTGACTGGCTCAGCCACTCAATTCTGCTGTTTCCTAGGCTGTGCTTTGGCTACAGGCTTGAGACCATCACCAAGTTTTACCTCCCTTGCTTTTGAAAAAGTCTTGAATGCTAATGGCTGGCTGAACCCAGTGTAACTGAAGCCTGCTAATCTATTGCCAGAGGGAAGGGCTGGAGATAAGAATATGTAGGGCCATTTAAAAAGGTGTTTGAATTACACACACTTGTTTACTTCATCTAAAAGTAGATCTCCAGGCTGGTGAAATTGTTTTGTGTCTTACGTGCATGCTGCAGAAGGGAGTGAGATGTGAGGAGGGACCCTCAGCGTGGAGTTTGCAGTATCAGTTCATTGCAGGGTCTGACTCTGACCTGTGGAGACGAGGCTCCTGCTGTGCAGTATGTGGCTAGAAGCAGTTCAGGAAAGAGCTGTGGCAGTGTCGTGCAAAAAATCAGACTCAACATGGCCAGCCTTCCGTGCTCAGCTTGCTTTGCCTTGCTCTGTGTTGCAGGAATGCTGACTCCCAGCTGTTTGACAAGGTCAGAGGACACGACATCAAGCTGCTGCGATACCTGTCTGTCCGATACATCTGTGACCTGATGGTGGAAAACAAGAAGGTGAAGTTTGGCTTGAAGTGAGTCTGGATTCATTTGTTTTTCTGCAGGCTTTGGATTGCAGCTAGTAGCCCTTACGTGGAATTGTTACTGGGCATACACTCAGCAACCAGGGAGCAGACCCTGGAAGATTCTTACAGCAGGATCAGTTAGTCAATGCTGTAAAGAGAACCCCAAGGTTTTAGGCCAGAGAAAGCCGTGTCAGTGGGCAAGAGAACTGCTTTCATCAGTCTTCTGTAGTCTGAGTAGGTTTCCTTTGTAGAGCTTGAGGTGATGTGACCCTTTCAGAAATGGGAGAGTAAAGGAGCCCTCTGCTTGTGTGTAGGAACAAATAGAGGTCTTTGTCCTTTCCAGAGGAAAGCTTTAGTATTTTGGGGTTATACCTGTTTATTTGGGTGCGTTGAGTAAGTGCTGCCCCTGCTCACTCCTGAGTCAAGTCATTGTGCAGGGGAATGAGACAGGTAGCTTTTTGGGTGCTACTGTCTCCATGAAAAATACTCTACAAATGTCTGCTGTCTTCTTCTTGTCCTGTGCAGTGTGACGTCTTCTGAGAAGGTGGACAAAGCGCAACGTTATGCTGATTTCACGCTTCTCTCCATCCCATATCCAGGTACAGGACTGATGTCCAGAGGGACCCCCAAGGGACAGGTGACAATCCGTTTCTGGGGACTGGGAACTACGTGTGTGTGTGTGTATGTGGTGAAATCACTGTGGCTTGCTGAGTGTTTCCTTTGCTCCCTCTGGAGAGAAGCTCTTTTAAACTGAGAACAGTGCGATGAATCTGGATGCTCTGGTGGTGTGAGTCAGCATTAGGCACTCTTCGAGGTGGCAAAATAATTTCTCAGCAGTTCTAATGCATTCAAGGGTGGAGAAAAAGTCCCAGAGGTGCAGCTGGGTTAACCTATCTTAATGATGGCCTTTGACACCCCTGCAACTCCAAGCTACTGCCTGATGCAAATGCGTATCTTACTCTCTGTTATATAAAACCCCAATTCTTAAGAGTATTTTCTAGTCCTAGTGTTCCAGAGCACCACTGTAGGATATTCTCATTGCCAGAGAGAATTGTTAACCCGAGCCTGCAGTGTACGACGGAGATGCAGGGCACTCCAGCCCGTCTCCCTGACTATATTGGTCCCTGTGCCTAGCAACCGCTGCTGGGTCACTTGCTGCGCTCTTAAAGATGAGCTGAATATTGCTGCCTGCTGATGTCAGGCTCGGTGGTAGGACTGGATGTGAGGCTGCTGTGCTTGAGGTCTCTCTGCAAGAAAGGACTCTGCTTTCTCCCTTGCTCACAAAGAAAGCAAGAGGAAGGAAAAAAAACCAACAACAAAACTTTTCCATGATTATTTATTATTGCCCTTAAACATATTTTTTTTTTCTTTTTTTTTTAAAAGGGATGTTTTTTCTTTCATACAGAAATTAGTGACAATTCAGAGAAGCTGCATTAATATTTCTATCTGCTTTGCCATAGAGATTACCAAGGTGTACAGAAATAAGAGTGTTACTGTTTTCTGTGACATGTGCCACAGGTGTATGTTGCAGCCGTGTACCTCGTCAAACGTAGGCCATAGGAAAGGCAGTGTACACAGGTCTTTTAGTAGAGTTTGTAAAGAGTGAGGAAGAAGTGATTCTGTAAAGTTAAACTGTGGAATTGTTACTTTATGGGGATCTGCATATTGTATGCACTATTCAGCGATGGTCCTTCCTCTCCTGCCATCTGGGGCAGCTGCTGTCTTTTAGCAGCTCTTCACTGCCACGCTAGAGGTAAACCTCATAAAAGTGGAAATTCTCCCTGCAGATGTTGCCTGATTTCAGCAGTGTTGGTCCAGAGGGGAATGTTGTTATTCTGTTAGATCTAAGGCGCACACATCTAAGGATCAGCAACCTCTCTAGTGACTGGCCAAATGCCATCATACATTCTGATTGATGTTTCCAGGTTTGCGCTGGATGAATCTCTATTTTGTAGTTTGGCTCTAAAGTTGTTCTGAGATCCTCTTGTCTTAAGTCAGCAAAGCAGTGTCCAGACATGACAATCTAAGGTGAAAGACTTGTGTTAAAATGGTGTATCTGTAGAAGCTTTTGTGCTCTCTAGTGCAGAAACCCCATTTTCCGTTTGACTGGCAGCTGGCGTTTGTAGATGCCAATACTTATTGCCATAATCCCCCATTCTTTGCTTAAAGCCATTGTTTAATTGGAGTTAAATCTCAGCTGACAGATTGCTTCCTGACTGTGTGGCTTTGAGGGCTAGTCCTGTCCTTGTACGAAGATATTTTTATTGCCATTAAGAGTTACTTGTGACTTGCAGGGTAGGACTCATTGCCTGTGTTCAGTGGCTGGCACAGGGGAGTCTTGGTAACGTGGGCACCGTGGCATTCCCAGGGCGTACAGGCTGCATCAGGAGAGGTGTCTGTTGTAGCCTGCAGGCAGCCGCAGTGCTAATGGTGCTGCTCGGCTGTGACTAAGTGACTGCAGTTTGCAGCAGAGGCTTCAAAACAGTTGTTTGAGAAGAATGGAGCCAAAGGACAAACTTACGGAGGGGAAGGCTTGGGGAAACCTCAGAAGTGGTTATGTACCTGCTTCCTTCAGACAGGGCGATTCGTGCCTGTGAAAGAGGAGACAGAAATGTGAGAGAAATCACAGCTGCCTCTGACAGAGCCCTTTCTTGTTACCTGCAGCAGATGCCCTGTGAGAGTTGGCTTTCCCCGGGGCTCTGCCAGCACCTCCTTTTGCTTGTTCCTTCTCACTCAGCGTGCCGGGCTGATGCCTTAGATCTGTGCAAAAGCCAGTGGCCCTGGAAAGTGTAGCTCCTCGGTGAAACCTCTTGTTGGGGAAGAAATGAAATCAGTCCCTCAAACTCCACATTTTCTGTGTGTTTGGAGTTTGCCCTTTGCTCTGTGAGTGTGTTCACTGCTGAGTGCTCTGGGTTGTTGTGCTGGGAGGCTGTGCTGCACGCTGTACTGATGATTACTGCTCTTCTCTTCCCGCAGGCAGCAGTTTTGATTGGGTTGGTGCTCTGGAGCCTGGGGCTGCCAGCACTTCCAGTCCCACGGGCACTTCAGTTGTTAGATATCAAGTTAGCTGAACGGTTGTTCATTATTTCTTTTTCTTGCAGGCTGTGAATTTTTTAAGGAGTACAAAGACCGGGATTATACAGCTGAAGGTCTCATATTTAACTGGAAACAGGTACATGGATATTACAAAATGGAGAGCTGCGGGCTTTACTGGGCTTAAGTCTTGCCTCAGAGTTCCTGAGCAATGGTGTATATGTCTTGTGCTTATTTCTGATCACAAGGAGGAAACCAACAGGGCAAGCAAAGCAAATAGTGAACGTACTACATTACTCGTTAATTGTAAACTTTGTATGTAAAATAAATTACTCGTTATCCTGTAGTCTAGGATGCTTAACCTGTCATAGGAGGTATGGGTTGCTCCTGTTACTGAATTTGACATCTTATTGATAGCCTGTGTTCTCAGTTCTGTCTTTGTATTCTGTCTCCTGCTGAGGGAGATGATTGAGTGGAGCAGCCCTGCAGTAATTCCAAAATTAACATGCCATGTCCCTGACTTTGACTCTCGGGAGCACATAAAAACTCCTCTTGTCCATTAGTCCTTCTAAGAGGCTATGTGTTAATTCTTATCACTGCAGTCTTTTGCATTCAAAGATGCTTTGAGGTGCTTTCTTCTATATATGCACTGTTTGGCATTTGTTTTTTTCTGGAGCTCACTGCCTTCAAGCCATGGCTTTTCTCTGACTAATTGTGTTTGGGTTTTTTTCAGGATTACGTAGATGCTCCATTAAGTATCCCAGTCTCTCTGACCCAATCTCTGAATATTGATTGGAGCGAGTACCAGGTGAGCAAAGCAGGCATGTCTGTGGGAGGTCAGAGATTCAAGTAAAGATTTGAAGTCGAATGAGTTGCTGCTATTGCAGTGTCTGGCTCGCTTTGTACCATCCCAGTGGGAGTGGGGCTGCAGACTTGATTGTTCAGAACAGCGGTGGAAATCCTCTGCCCAAAAGCTTCCTGGCTTGGTGTGTCCCAGAGCAGCTGGTTCTAACGTCAGATCTTTTTCTGTAGCTTGCGTAAAGCTTTCAATCCATTAGGGAGATACGTCGGTAACGAAGGTAAGGAACATGCCAGCAAAGGGAAAGCAGCATTACTCGTTCACAATCTCAGCGAGGCACATGCCTGCAGTGGGCAGACTTCCTTGGCTGTGCAGAGTCTTGAGAGAGATCAGCCTCCCCTTAGGTGAGCAGTAGCCAAGTGACTAGGCACCAAGGTACCTGTCCTGTGAGAGGAGAGCAGGAAATCACAGTCGACCGTACTGTGACGGCATCGCAAATGATAATTGAGCTCTTGTGTTTGCCCAAGCTTCAAGGGTTACCTTTGCTCGTACTAGGGAGCGTCGCCTCCTGCTGCTGGTTAGTGTGCTCCATTTCACACATCAGCAGACCCAGGTTTTGTGATGATTGACTGTGCTGGAGCGTGTCACGCTCCCGTGCTCTGTGTCTGGAAGCACCACAGAAGTAGTAGAGCTCCCCGTGCTGGGCCAGTGTTTGTCAGTCAGTGATGTAAATAATGTTTAAGTGTCAGCGTAAGCAGAATCACGGAGAAGTAGCTTGCAGAGCTGAAGCAGAACTAATGGGACCACAGTTTGTTTATGGCTAGAAACTTGTTCACTAGAATACTGAGCAGCCCGTATTTTAAAAGAGGATATTAAAAAATTGAAGAGAGTGTAATAAATAGATGCAGAAATGATCTGACGACTGGAGATGGTGCTTCACTTAAAGCTGAAGTTCTCAGTCTGTTTAGCTAATCACAAAGGTAATGGAGGGTTGACTTGATTAATGTGTAAGTACATTTGCAGGGAGAAAACACTAATTCTAAAGCACTCTTCAGTCTGGGGGGAAAAAGCTGCACAGGAAGCAATGTCTGCAGATGGAAATCAGACCTTCAAATAAGGAAGAGTAGTCTTGCTTGTTATTTTTGAGGATGATCTGTTGGAACACACTGCTAAAGGAACAATGAGCTGTCACCCCTAGTTGAGGTGCTTTTCTCGGTGAGAATGCAAGCCTCAGGCTGTGTTTGGGGCAACTGATCAAAACTTTCTGGTTTGTGGTCTTGAGACATCAGACTGGATGACTACATGATTCTTTCTGTCATAAGCACAAGATTGGGTTGAATTGGGCAGATACGAGACTTTGGAAGTATGTGTTTTTCTGCCCCAGGCTGAGTGTATTCCCCATTTCCCTACTCTTTTGTTGCTGTGCAGGCTTCACAGCAGAGTAATATGTTCTTTGTGTGACAGCAGTCTTAAGTGTGGTTACACACACACATGCACACATGCAGGCACACAGCGAGTGTTCTATTGCTGGTGGTCAGACGTCACTTACACCACAAACACTGTCACGATGAAACCCCTGTCCTTTTCCTTGCCACTGCTCTCCTGTTTCCCTTGAGCTACTTCTGGCCCTGGTCAGACTGCTGAAATTCCCCACATCTTCTCACAACACAATGGTCGAGAGTGGCCTCCTGTGTGTGAGCTTGTTCTGATGGTTGTCACCTGCATCTCTTGTGGTGCTGGAGCCATTCTGTGGTGCTGCTGCAACTTGAGCGTTACTGCAGAAGTCCAGAGCCTGTCTGGAGCAGCCAGGAGTGGGTCAGGCCTCTGCTGGCAGCCTGCTGGGGCCATTTATGAGGGTGTTTTGAGCAAAGGGCTTGGGTTGTATGAATGGGCTACTGACCTTGGCCTGCTCACCCCATCATGCTACAGCATCACATACACAGCTGTAACGTGGCTGCTGAGCCGTTTGGTGAAGTACACGCATGTGGGGGGCTGCAGAACTGGGTCAGTGCTCCACAGGTGTTTGCTGGAGCACGTTGGTCCCTCTGAGCATGGTCTGCTTGGAGCTTTGGGGCTGCGGGCAAGCTGGTTCTGTGCCAGCCAGGCAGATAGGAGAGATAGCCTTTTATTATTTCCTTTTCTTTTTTTTTCCTGCCTGATCTGTTGTGCCAGAGTGCCTTTTGTAGAGGATGAGATGATTGATTAGAGCACCAAGGGAGCCTGTCACTCTGAGGAATGGCCACAGGGTTATTTCTGCTTTGCTCTTGTTCTGGATAGAGAAGCCAAGAGCATGGCGGGCCCTGAATTGCAGAGCAGCCTTTTGCTGTGGGCAGAATCTTACCATCAATGTTTCTCTTTCTGCAGAGCTGGGACCTTGTGCAACAGACACAGAACTACCTGAAGTTGCTGATCTCCATCATCAATAGCGATGGTAAGGCAAACTCCTTGCTCCCAGCAGTCTGACTGGGGCAGTTGCTGTCTCCAGACCAGGTGATGGTGTTAGCACCACTCTTTATAAAAAAAAGCTTGATATCCCTCCCTCCAAAACCCAGTGATAGTCCTAACATCTCAGGGCTCCAGCTCCCTTCTTAGAGAGGGACTTGCTGATCCCCTGAAGACCCTCTTTTCCAAGAATGGAGGGGTATCTGAACATTTTACCTGAAGCTCTCCTGCTTAAAGCTGAAGAGAAGAAACATTTGTTCCTCTGTTTGTTGACTCTTGCTCTTAGTAATGCACATCTGTGTTTTATGCCCTCAACCCAGGGTCTCATTAGGTGCCTGTTCTTTCACCCTCTGTCATCACAGCCACCCCAGCTCCTTGAAGGGAGTGTATTGCTTTATGTTGGCATCCTGTTCCCTTTAAGCACGGGGACTTTGTACCTAGTGCTGTTGGATAGATGGAGCCGTGGCTGGCTCTGCCAGCATGGACAACTGCAGATTTTCCTGGAGCAATTGTGTTGGGACACACTGTGATTTTTCTGTGTGTGCCTCTGCTCAGTGTGTATCGGTAGGAAGATTGCTGAGACTGAAAAAGTCTTCAGTTGGAGTAGGCTTCTGTCTGGTGTGGGGATAAATAGTGGTGGTGGGTTGCAACTGAGTAAGTATATGTTCTGTGTAGCAAAGTGATGTTCATAACTACTGACTTCACGTCCTGAGCAGCTGTCAGGACCAGGACAGCACATCAGCTGGGGCTGCTGACAACCCAGGACACTCTGAGCAATTTGTTGGCTGCTGTATTCAAGACAGAATGTTCTGGCTTGGTGGCTGAGCTCTCCTCTTGAGCCGGGGCTGTGGGGACAGAGGGTAACTTGTCTCTACAGATTTGCGAAAAGAAAAGCCATTGCTCTTGTTGCAATATCCTTTTTTTTCCTTCTTCTTACCCCTGCCTGGAACAGATGACAGCGGGCTCCTGGTGCACTGTATATCCGGCTGGGATCGAACTCCTCTCTTCATCTCCTTATTGCGCCTCTCCTTATGGGCTGTGAGTACCTGGCTGACCTGCTCTGCTTCTGGGGGCGATTGTTTGGAGGATGAGTGAGTGAATGTGTCACTAGGAAGTGGTGGTGGAGCAGTTAGTGTTCCTTTTGACTATCTTGGCTTCAGAGAGGCTGTGGATTGACTTTGATTTGGAGTCCAACATACTGTCCTGCCATCAGGCATGGCATCACAGGCAGGTGGGCGTCTTGGATCACCACGATGGTTTTCGGTAGATCGTGAATTCTCAAGTCCCGATCCCCAGGGCTGCTGCCTGAAGGGTGTTCTTTCCTTTGCAGGATGGGCTGATCCACGCGTCCCTGGAGCCATCTGAGATTCTCTACCTGACAGTGGCCTATGACTGGTTTCTTTTTGGGTAGGTGCACTAAGTTTTACTCGCGTATGCATCCCTGCGCAGCAGGTGAGAAGCCTGCAGGGCGTCATCTTTGGTGTTTGCTCACAACCAAAGGTGGATGTTGGGGCAGCTCCTGATGATGCCTTTTTTGACCTGGAAGCTCAGGCATGTGGCCATTGTTGACATCTTGTGCTCTGCTGATTCTGGCTTCCAGCATGTGACGGAGCTTCCCTTGCTCTCTTTCCAGGCACATGTTAGCCGATCGGCTCAGTAAAGGAGAAGAGGTGAGTGTCTGGTGTGGGGCAGTGGCTGAGCACTGCTTTTTGTTCTCAGGGTGTTTGTTTACAGTAGCAGCATTCACTGCCTTCTTCTGGTAAGAGTGGTCTGGCTGGGCTCTAAAACGATTGTTCAGGTGCTGGAAATATGAGATGAGAGCCTTGCCCCGTCAGTTCCTGATGCATAAGGTGTGAGAAATACTTTTCTCTCAGGCTGCAGTTTGGTTGGAGGGTGTCAGTCCTCCCAATTTCCCTGCTGTGCCATTAGTGTTCAGGCCCCTGGTGAAAGAGTGCTAAGATTTGCTATTCCACTCAGCGGTGAGAAAGGATGCTTAAGGCATGTGACTCCAGGGAGCTTGAAAATAAAGCTGTATAGTCTTGTGTGCTTGTCCTGAGTGCCAGCCCTCCTGCCTGGGTGCTGCAGCTGCATGTGGCTTGCATGTCATTGCGGGCTCATGGAGCAGCTGGTGCTGGTTCCAGTGTGTGCATTTTGGCAGGGTGTATCTGTGGGTGCACAGATGGGTCTGGGAGGCAGTTAGGATTAGTGGAACTGATTCTATTCAAATCTTTCACTATTTAACAGCAAAAAATGATTGCTCTGACTATAGTTGCAGTTCACTGCTGTATCGTTTTTGGATAGAGATCAAAAGATGGGGAATACGTCTAACCCTGTTGCTAATCCACTGAATCCACTGCTTCTCAGACTCACCTCACTCGAGAACCCCCTGCCTCTGAACAGCATCACCCCCTGCAGAACTCAGAGCCAGGACCCTGGCCTGTTTCCCATCTCTCAGGGGTCTAGGACCCCTGTACTAGAGTCACTCCTCCCATTCATTCCTTCCCCAGAGCTCCACTGGCTCACACCTGGCAGCCTGCCTAGCCCAGGGTGCAGTTGGTAGCCAGGGTGCATGGCTGCCTCTCGCCCTCCCCGCAGCAGGAGGAGCAGGGCTCAGGTCTGCGCAGGCAGGTGGGGTGGCAGTGGCACAGTGAGGGTGCAGACTGCTGTGTGGCAAGGCATGAGCTTGGGACCACAGATGCTGCAGGTACTGCAGCATCTTCCAGATGTGGTACAGCTGTGGTGCCCAGGTGGAGCACGTGGCTCTCACCTTGCCAGGGGTTTGCTGCTTACCTGGGAGTATGAGCAGGTGCCCTGCCGTGTGCTTGCAGCATGTGTGCAAGGCATTGATAAGGAGACTTGTCGCACACATTCCTTTCTGGGCCTCCCTGTGGCAGGGAACAGAGGGTCAATTTAACGTGTAGGAGAAGGCCCAGGATGGGATGGTGACAGCCCATGGCATGTCGGAGGCTGGTAGCTGCAGATTTCTTCCTATCTCCATCCTGCCAGCACCTCCCCGCCAAGATAAGAGGCTGCATGGTGCCTCGGGTTCGTTCCTGAACCGCTCTTTTCTCTCCCTTTGCTCAGATTTTCTTTTTCTGCTTCAATTTTCTGAAGCACATCACCTCTGAGGAGTTCTCTGCTGTGAAGTCGCAGAGGTAAGGAGCCTGTGCCTGCTGCTGCATGGGCTGCAGAGCCAGGGAGCTTGTTAGTGCTGTTCCTTTGGGGAGATGGAAGCCCTGGTGTCCTGGCCCAGTTTTCTTTAATTTATTCTGCACTCTGAAGGCTGCAAAATGGGGCCGAGGCTTGTGAGGTGCCACGTTGTGCTCTGAAAAACTGTCCATGCTGAAATGTGCTCTCTGCTTAATGACTGTCCGTGGCTGCTTTAGCACGGGTGAGCCCAGAGATGTGTGCTCTGGCACAAGCAGGCTGTGCACAAAGCTCCCTCAGGCGCTGCTGAGGGGAGCGGGGTGGCTGGTGTTTAACAGACCACTGAACGTTAACCCCTTCCTATTTCAGGAGGGGCAGAAAGAAGCGAAACCCACCCTGCAGGTTCTCAATAAGCTGTTGAGAACACACACGTGTGCCCGCAGCCTGTTGCCACCCTCTCAAAGCACAGGGTGTGCAGGCTAGGACTGTTAGGAGTGTGGGACACTGCATCCTGGCCCCATCCCCTCCCCTCTGCCCCTGCACAGCTAATTCCCCACCGCTCTGATCTGCTGCGTGCAACGGAGATCTGGCTAACTTTTGTCTTTCCTTCCCCAGAAGGAAGAGTTTGCCACCTGGCTTCACCCTGGAAGAGATCTGCATGCTCAGTGAGTGCTGCTGAGAGCATCAGCACCCCTGGGTGCTGGTAATGGTTGATCGCTTGGGGGCTTGGGTTCCCAGCGTCAAGGTGACTACAAATGGGTATGCTTCCCTTGGGGCATCGCAAGAGCCCGGCCCCAGGGCACATGGGAAATGTATCACTTAAAGGGGGAGAAAGCGAGCGAGACAAAGCTGGCCTTCAGGTAGTTCTGTTTTCTTTTCTCTAGAGCAAAGAGACCGAGGCAGCACCACAAGCCTGAGCAGCGACTTCTCCCTGGGGATGGAAAGTTCTCCTGGAGCAGCTGGGAGCTTCACTTATGAAGCGGTGGAACTGATGCCAGCAGGAGCACAGGCTCAAGCAGCATGGTGAGGACATAACCACTCAGTGGGCTGCAGAATGAAAGGGACAGGCGCTGGGCACAGGAGAAAAGATGTTTCTGAAGTCCCTCGCCCTCAGGATCTGCTCTCTATGGCCTCCTTACAGTGGAGGGAGGAATTTGGCTGGCAGAGGCTTTGCTGCAACTTGTGCTGTGGAACTTCTGCACCAAAAATTGGAGACTGCCCCATGTTAATGACTGCGACAGGCTTCTGTAGGGATGCTTCTGAAGTTTGTCCCCTCATGAGAGTAAAGCAGCTTTGCTTCATTTTTACCAGCTTCACTGTTAAACTTCACCCAGAAAGGATTTCATTACTTTTAAAAGATAGTTCCAAACTGTCAGAAAAATGACCTCCTCAGGGAAAAGTGGAGACAAAGTTTAGCTGCCCTAAAATGAAGCCTAATCAGTTTATGAAAGAGATTATACAGGGGAGTGTCTGCAGTTAGGGAAAGGTGGGCAGGGTGGCCAAGAATCCTCTCTAACAGCACAAGGTGTGGGATCTGAAAGCAGGTTGCTGCCTGCAACGCTGCTTAGAGATACTTCTTGGGGGAGAACATGAAATTGTTGGTGGTCCCTGTTGATAGAGGGTCACACAGGACTTGCCTGGGGATGCAGGTGGCCCTCCCTGGAAGTGGGGACTGGGGAGGGTCTCTGGTGACTCTGCTACCCTGGGATGGATGTTTTGCTTGCTTGTGGAGTTTCTGGTGCTGTTGAGGGATTTCAAAACCTTTCTGTAGGGTTGCCCCTGTCAGTTTAATTTTTCTCTCCTCTCCCTCAGCACATGTGAAGACGCTATTTTATATTGCAATTATTTTAAATTAAATCTGGGTTGTGCTGGAGGCAGTTGAAGTCCTCTGGGACTGAGCCTGCAGCCATGCTAGTGGCAGCAGCCTTTTAAAGCACATTGTGATTCAATTTATAAAATGCTGAAGAAGGGGAAGAGAAAATCTTCCTGCAGAATCACAAAACAGAGATGGGGAGACCCAAATTGCATTTGCCAAGTGAGCAGCACAAGAGTCCTCTTTAACACACAGCACTTGCCTGTCCAGCAAGGTGACTGCAGCAAGTAGAGAACAACTTTCCACTTGTCTGGCTACAGGATGTTAAACTGGAAGCATTTAAGTTGCTCTGAGTGCTCAGGACATACAGACTAGATCCTGCAGCATGAAACCTACATGTGATCTTCAAAAGACTTGAAGTGGCCAGAGCAGGTTGGAAGAGATCTGCTGCACTCGTATGTGTCAGGGCTTGATTTTGTGACATGTTTTGTAACTCTAGTTTGCTTTAGTTCCTGTTGGAGACATCAGATGGTGTTGGGATCAGCTGCTGCTACCACAGTGATGGTTTGGGCCCATGCTGTGGGCATGAGCTTGGGGAAGGGAAGGTTGTCAGCCTTGCCATGAGTGCTTAGCGAGGGGATTGCACATGGATGTCCTGCTGCAGGCTGTTGTGGCTGTGTAGTCTGGAGAACAGGTAGGGCTTGCTACAAGCTGGGTGCGTAGTGTGAGGGGGGAGAAGGTATGTGCTTCATTGTGTTGTGCTGAAAACAGGTGGCCTCAAAGTCTCCTTGCAGGGAGAGGCATTTGTTTTTTAACTGTACAAGTCTGTTTCTGCAGGCTGTGCTTGGAGATGTTGGCAGCTCTGATAACATGAGATGAATAATGCTTGAGAGAGGCTATGGTGTGATGTTTGAGGGTGGACACGCTTCAAGAAGTGAAGAGAGGATATGATGCTTCCCACTGTACTATGAGCCTGTCTTTAGCTGCACTTGCTGACAGTGCTTGAGATCTCAGTCAAAGCTGAGATGCCCTTCCAGATTCCAGGAAGAAGAGCATCTTTTCTGCTTGAGTTTGTTGGCTTTAGGCTTTTTGCTTGTGTACATAAGGAGGTCTTTGTCCAATTCACTGTGGTTTTTGAGGGGGAAAAATTCAGCGTGCTCTTCCAGGAAAAAAAAAAAAAGATGTCAGAAAAAAAAAATCTTCTGAAGATGACGCAGCAGTGATGTGAATTAGTCCCAAGTATGTGTGCCCGTTTGGCATGTAGCTGGATGGCATTGTGAGCTTAGGCCTGATGTGGCAATGGGCAGTGAATCACACCCGAGTCTCAATGGTGCTGGCTTGAAAAGAAGCCAGAGCAGTTCTGGGCTGTGAGCACAGAGGGAGAATTGAAATGCACCTACACCTGGAGTGATTGTCAGCCCCGAGCACGTGGTCAGAAGCGTGGTCAGTGGTGCCTGAAGGAAATCACTAAAAGGGAAAATAACACCAGTGTTGTGTCCCTGTCACCCTCATCAGTGCGCACTAACACCCACCTGGGCTTAGCTGCTGGCTGGTACTCTGTAGAGTTCAGAGCAAATTGAAATGGTCTTTCCCTCCTGGGAGGCCCCTTGCTTGAGGCGCTTTTACAGCTAGACTAAACAAAGCAGCCGCTGTATGTGTGTGGGCTGATGCATTCTCCTGTCTCTGATTTCCAGGTCACGTGGATGGTGATCTATAAAAGAATGGGCTAAGATGGGTTGAGCTCCATGTACCACCCGTGACTCATGGTTCCTTGGAAGGGAGGGGGGCAGGTTCACTGGGAACAAGAGCTTGTAGCTGCTGGGATAAAATCCAGCCTGTTGTGGAAAGGCTTCCGAGCTGCAGTGCATGGGAAAACTAGCTTTCTCACCCAAGTCCTCTGTCCCACAGGAGGAAGAGTTGTGCGTCGTCACCACAAGCCGTGCTCTGGAGCAGGGCTCAACAGTCTGAAGACAGGCTGCCTTCCACAGGGATGGTCGAAGTCAAGTCCTCCAGCTCCTCCTCATCAACCCATTCTGATAACTTCCTGAGGATTGGAAGCAGCCCACTGGAAGTGCCCAGATCCAGGTGAGATGGGACAGAGTAGACCATTTCTCAGCAAAGCCAGTGTCTGGTAAAGGGAGTGCAGGGCTGCACTCGTGCAGCTCCGAGAACCCTGGAGCACATGGGTTTGTATCTACAGACAGGCACCTCTAACCTGACCCTGTGTGAAATGCTGGCCATTAAACACAGGAGCTCCTGCCTAAGCCCATTTAGAGGAGTGAGGAGCTGTGCCGATAACAGCTAGGTGTCTGTTCTGCCTGTCCTCAGTGCATGCCTCACCTCCACCAACTCTGGCATCTCTGCATCCTGCATGCTTGGAGCTCACAGCGCTTTCTCTGTCAAACGCACCCGCAGGGGTTTGAACTGGCTGTGTGGTGTGTGGGAGGAAGTCTTTCAAGCCAGGCAGACCTCACTCTGCATCTGTCCTGTCCCCATTTCCACCTGCTGACCTTCCTGACGCTGCAGGGTGGAAAAACTCTGGGTGCTGGTGGCAAGCAGAGGTGGAATCTGCTGCGAGCAAGCTGCCAGCACCGTGCTGGGGCAAAGGATTTTGCCCTGAAGGCTGTGTGCTCCCGCTGTGCGACCGGGGAATGGGGACCCTGGACCTGAGCTTAATCTCATGCCATAACAAAGGATATTCTGGCACCCTTCTGGAGTCTGATGCTGTGGCAGGGCAAGGCAGGGCTGTGAGCTAGGCGAAGGAAGAAAGAACAGAGCCTGTGGAGCAAACACCATGTGCTTAGGCCGACAGGGGATAAAGAGGCTCTTAGATAAGAGGTTGCTGTTAACAGCATCAAACGCTTGTGTAGTCTCCGCAGGTTTTCCGATGAGGCTTTTTCTAGTGATTCCCTTCAGAAACAGCCACCAGCCAAATTTTAGTGCTCTCTCATCACACAGAAAATAAAATGACAAACAAGTAAGGCATTGAAAATTTATAAGACTTTCTTACCGAGTTTCTTGATTCCAGAGAATAATCGCTGTCTGACAGCTTTCATAAAAGAGGTGAACTGTTTTCCCCAGGGAAGGAGATCAATGGGATGTTTTTGAGTTGTTGCTGGGGCCCACCTCTGCATTCTCTGAAAGATGAAACAATTCTCCCAAGAAGAGGACAAAATGCTGGAGAAAAAGCAGCTTGTCTTGGGGGCTGCTTTTGTTCACAACAGTGATGCCACAGTTCCTATGTGTGGTCTCGTGCCGTTCCCAAGACCTGACAAGCTGCTGAGGGCTGGGCTGGCAGCAAACTTGGAGCAGTGCTGGGGAGGAACCTGCCTGTAACGCTTCAGCCGGACTCTGCAAGAGTGAAGGGGAGAGACGGAGTAGGCAGAGCAGCACCACAGGAAGGGGCTGAGCACACAGTCCCTGGGATTTGCATTCCAGAGGCTCAGAGTTGGTAAAGCCAGCGATTTTCTTTCCTCTGGCTGTGTCTGGATAAGATGTCTATAAGCTTTTGTTAATGTCCAGTGGCATCAGGTGTTCAGAACTGACACCCTAAGGCAGCAGGCGAGTGTGGTGGGGAATTTGTTACTGCTGAGCCAGAGTCCCTGGGGATGGCTTTTCCTTATGCCCAGTAAGTAATCTGAGAAGGAGCTGCAGTATTCTGTCATTGTAAGAGGTAAATGTTCTGTGAATTCCACTATAAACATTTCTTTCTGATCTTTATGATAGCTTCTAACATGGCACAAAGCCTTTATAACCTTTCAACGTGGCAAAGTTGCACCAGTCCACTCCCAGTCCCTCTTAACTTTTGTGAACAAGGCAGCGTGAAGGCTGGGCTGTGGAAAAAATTGCATGAGGTGGGGAATAGGAGATAGAAGGAGAGCAAACCCCTTGCACAACCTGAAACCAAGAGGACAGGAGAAGGGAATCAGCTGTGAGACCAAAGCAGTGAGGTCAGCTGCACGCAGAGGTGGTTGGTTGTCCTGCTACACTCTTGCTGGCTGGAGAGTGTGGGTTTCCCCTGCTCGTCTCAGTGCACAGGCTGGAGGAAATGAGCCTAGAGACCCTACAGGGAGTGGGTGGAATTGTCCAGGCAACAGCCGACCAGAGTTTGTCTTTCAAACCAAGTCTTATAGCACATTCATGCTCCTTTGCCTCCCAGTCCACTGCCAGATCAGCCAGACTGCGGTCTGTGCCCTGTCTGCCTTCCCTGGGGTAACACTGCTAACAGCTCTGCTGGGGAAGGACTTAGGCAACACGTTGCCTTGTCAGATGCTGACATGGCTTGAACTTTTTGGGGCCTGAACATGGTGCATTTTGTCTCCAGAGAGTGGGTTTATATCATTCCTCTTGGCTTTGGTCTCCCTGCTCAGTCTATGTTAGTCTGAATTTGTCTGGTGAGCTCCATGCAGATATCCATGCCACCATTTTCCATCCTGAAGGAAGGGAGGAGTCCCATCTTGGGTGGAGAAGGAGTGTATCTGTGACAGAAGAAAGGAGTAGATTCTCTCCCTTCATCCCCTGAAAAAAATATGGGACTTGAATGGAAAGGCTGGAGCACAGAGACTGATCATGATGCCAAAAATACCTTTATCTCCACGGTGCTGCTGGCAGGTTAACACCCAAGGCTCTTAAGATGAAGAAACTACTGTACTTGACTTCCTAATCCTCTGGTTGTGTGGCCATAGCAACAAAACACTTAACCACTGCAGCAGCAGTTGAGGAGGAATGGTTGCTTGTAAAATGCCAGCAGGCACCCTTTGGGCAGTTCACGTAAACAGCCCGGTCCGTGTGCCGGCAGGCAGGGGAGCTCTGGGGGGAAAGGGAAGGCAGAGAGAGATGAGCAGGGCCTGGGAAGGGAACTGGGGTGTCCTAAAGGGAAGGGTCAGAAATGCCAATTCAGTTGGTGGGAGCCAAGCCCCTCTCCTGGCCGGGCTGTGTCAGTGGTCTGCTGCTTCCATCACTTCACCACCACTTCTTCTGAGTCCTGCTGGGATCCAGAGGTACCTGTAAATCCCAGGATGGTTCTTGGTAGGCAAAGCAGTACAAAGGCAAATTCCTAGCAGTCTTTCTAGCTCATCCCAACATGATGGTAAGATCGCATCTGCTGAGGGCAGACATGCACGAAGATACTGCATAGATTATTTGTAGAGTAGAACAAGGTGCTTCTTGTTCTACAGGCTACACTCTTGCTGGCTGGAGAGTGTGGGTTTCCCCTGCTCGTCTCAGTGCACAGGCTGGAGGAAATGAGCCTAGAGACCCTACAGGGAGTGGGTGGAATTGTCCAGGCAACAGCCGACCAGAGTTTGTCTTTCAAACCAAGTCTTATAGCACATTCATGCTCCTTTGCCTCCCAGTCCACTGCCAGATCAGCCAGACTGCGGTCTGTGCCCTGTCTGCCTTCCCTGGGGTAACACTGCTAACAGCTCTGCTGGGGAAGGACTTAGGCAACACGTTGCCTTGTCAGATGCTGACATGGCTTGAACTTTTTGGGGCCTGAACATGGTGCATTTTGTCTCCAGAGAGTGGGTTTATATCATTCCTCTTGGCTTTGGTCTCCCTGCTCAGTCTATGTTAGTCTGAATTTGTCTGGTGAGCTCCATGCAGATATCCATGCCACCATTTTCCATCCTGAAGGAAGGGAGGAGTCCCATCTTGGGTGGAGAAGGAGTGTATCTGTGACAGAAGAAAGGAGTAGATTCTCTCCCTTCATCCCCTGAAAAAAATATGGGACTTGAATGGAAAGGCTGGAGCACAGAGACTGATCATGATGCCAAAAATACCTTTATCTCCACGGTGCTGCTGGCAGGTTAACACCCAAGGCTCTTAAGATGAAGAAACTACTGTACTTGACTTCCTAATCCTCTGGTTGTGTGGCCATAGCAACAAAACACTTAACCACTGCAGCAGCAGTTGAGGAGGAATGGTTGCTTGTAAAATGCCAGCAGGCACCCTTTGGGCAGTTCACGTAAACAGCCCGGTCCGTGTGCCGGCAGGCAGGGGAGCTCTGGGGGGAAAGGGAAGGCAGAGAGAGATGAGCAGGGCCTGGGAAGGGAACTGGGGTGTCCTAAAGGGAAGGGTCAGAAATGCCAATTCAGTTGGTGGGAGCCAAGCCCCTCTCCTGGCCGGGCTGTGTCAGTGGTCTGCTGCTTCCATCACTTCACCACCACTTCTTCTGAGTCCTGCTGGGATCCAGAGGTACCTGTAAATCCCAGGATGGTTCTTGGTAGGCAAAGCAGTACAAAGGCAAATTCCTAGCAGTCTTTCTAGCTCATCCCAACATGATGGTAAGATCGCATCTGCTGAGGGCAGACATGCACGAAGATACTGCATAGATTATTTGTAGAGTAGAACAAGGTGCTTCTTGTTCTACAGGCTGAGAGCTCTGAGGATGGCAGATAGCGTGCGTTGAGTGGAAGTCCCTGTGTGCCAGTGGGTAGCAGCTTGCAGACTGTGTTCTGTGTTTGCATTTGACGCTAATAGTCTAAGTGTCCCATGACACTGCAGAAAAACCCCGTATCTGTGTCAGGGATTTAGCGTGTGTGCACATTGCACTAATGTGGATTAGCAGCTGGATAATCTTTGGTTGAATGTGCTTTTGCTAAGTCAATTAAACAAAACCCAAAGTACCAAGATCTGAAGAGTCAAGATCCGCAGGAGTTAAATCGTGGAGGATCTGCTTTAGTCAACAGCCACCCAGAGCTCCCTTAGTGAAAGGGCTGCAGACGGTTCAGCTGTGGGTCTGGAGGGAGCACGGAGAGGGACAGAGAAGCTGCTGTCCCTTGGCTTTGGGTGTCTTTTTGACAGTGATAAGACTTGCATGCACACTATGTGTCTCACTCCTACAGCCACCTGGCTCGGAAGCTGTACCTGCGATGTGACAACTTGGGATAGTGACCACAGCAGGACAGGAATTGTTGACGGGAACGTTTTCTGGAATTATTTGTGCGACTGTGCCACAAAATGGGCTTGCCTGCTGACACCTGACTGTGCTGCAATCAAGAACGGTTGTGCTTGCAGGGGACTGGCTGCTGGGGCTGTGACGGCACTAACACAGCCGGTAGATGACTGCCTGGAATCCAGCCAGGGCTCTCAGCACCGCGCTCTGCCAAGTGCTCCCTGCCAACACGTCCCACGCAAAGGTGGGGAGGGCTGCCCTTTCCTCCAGGTTGCCACAGTCTGCCTGCGCGTATGGTACCTACCTAACGCTTCAGTTTGAGGCACAGAGCATATGCTGGCAAATGAGCTGCTGCTTCCCAAATAGTCCTAGGTGTGTGGGAATACGGCAGGTAAGCGGGGGCAGCGCAGGGCAGGACGAGAGCCTCGCTGCTGGCGCCTGGCACTCGGCTGAGTTACGTATTAAGAAAGGGAAGGATCCCTGGCTGTTGCTCTGCCTCCGGTGTTGGCTCTCCTCTGGTAGTCGAGTGTCCGAAATACTCTGTCTTGTGCAGCATGTTGCATGGGAAGCACTGACCTAATTAAAAGGGACCGTTCCAGGCTAGGAGTTGCCGGTTTATGGCCTGCTAGAGGTCCTCCCTTGTGTGAAGGAACAGCTTGCAGCTCATCTCTGTTTTGCTAATCTAATTTTGTTAATCTTGCACTTTTGAGGGAGTTTCTTCCCACTCGTGGACGTGAAGAGGTGGGTGTGTGAAGCTCACTTTCGTTCTCTTTCTGCCTGCCATTAGATGTCTGTGGCAGAGACAGTGACTTGGAGACTTGCTATATCTCATCTTCACTAACCATGTCAGCTTTGCTGTCCGGCTGCTTCCCAAGAGCCTCCGCACTGCCCTCACAGCTCACCAGCCTCTGGCACGGCTGTCATGTGTTCCAAACAAGTTTTTCTTACAGACTTGGGGACTGGTCCTCGTATCCCAGGAGCCCCAGCTTGCTCTGGGGGCCTCACTGAAGCCCTATTTAGGGCTCTGCAGCAAGACTTTACAAGAAGCCTTCAGGGGTAGAAATAACAGGAAGACTTTCACCTCTAGCATTGACTGGATTGCACTGGCATACAGTCACCCCAGAGATCTGGTCTTGGTCTCAAGGCAAGCTCAGCTTTTAAGAAGCTCTGCTGCCCTTGCAGTGTGAAGGCAAGATTTTCCGTGCTGTGCCTTCCCTGTCTGTCTCACCCGGCCTTGGCCCCGCTGTCTCTCAAGGCTGTTCAAGATGCCTGTTGGTTGTGACACTTCCTCAGGAGCCTCCCTTGCGAAGGCGTTGGGTATAGAGGGGAAAGTCTGCCACGATATCTTAGCTCTGCTGGTTAGGCTCAGAGATCTCAGCCAGGAGAGAGATGGCCTGGACTCACTGCAGAGTCAATCTGTTTATTCAATTAATCAAAAAGTGTTTATTCTGCTGCCTGGAGGTGAGACACGGAATTGGCTGCCTTGAACTCCTAGACTCCTGTGCTATTAGGTTAGATGTAACTTGACTAACTTTGTGCAGCTGCTTGACAGGGTTGGGGACTTCAGGAAGGGTTAGAGGGCTAGGGAGACACTGAGTCAGTCTTGCAAGAGGTACACGATGCTCTTGTCAGCCCGTCCAAGAAACGATTCAAGAGGTGACTTGATCCACCTCCAAGAGGTGGTGTAAGATCAGTCTAATCTTAGCAACCATGAAGTTACCAGCACCTGGAAGCTGAGGCCACACAGCCAAAGCAGGAAACAGTTTTCTGCTCACCTTCTTTAGCACAGACTTATCTGACCAGTGTGGCTGTTACTGGGCAAAAGGACATTTTTACTGTCCGTGGGGCCCTGGACCATGTCTTACTCCTTTACTTGCCACGTGGGCGCAGTGTCTCAGGCAGGCTCCTGATACCTCTGTCTCTTTGTGAGAGCTGCAGAGCTCTGCTCTGTTCTCCACCTTCACCTGGAGATCCTGGCATAGCCCAAGCCCTCCTCTGCCATCCAGATTTGCCCGCTTCAAAACCTTTGTTTCTGCCTGGCTCTAAACCTGTCCTCTGTTCAGCAACTCATTACTTTTCTGACAGAATCATGTCCCTGTCTACTTTCAGCCCAAGCCTATTCCTATCGACCTCTTCACTGCTTTAGCTCAAATTCTTGTCACTGTGTGTGAGGCTCCTGTTTTTCCTGTCTGGCTCTGCTGTACTCCTCTTCCCTCTGCACTGAAGCAGTGCTCCTCTATATTTCTCCCTGGCTTCCTGCACTCTTCCCACTGTGCTTCCAGCATGGCACCAAACTCTGGGCCCAAACACTCTGGCAGCTCTCCTCCATCACGCTGACTTCCTCGCCTTACCTTCCAAAGGCAGGGAGAGGGGTAGATGTCACTGAACAGCTGCTCCCTTTCCCTTACAAATTCCTTGCATCCCAGGAAAGGTTATCCCTGCCTGATCTCCAGAAAGTCTTTCTAAGAGTGTGTGCTGCAGTTCTGCTTTCAATGAAATGGCCTCCTTCTGACTATGCTGTTAGGAGCTGTAGGAAAAACAGCTTTTTGCAAGAAGGGGTTCTTCCAATGCTTATCACTCTCAGCACCTCTCTGAACCTCACTCATCAGTTCATCGAGGAGCCAGAGGACAAGAGCAGTACATGACAGGTGAAGCTCTGCTCTTCCCATTCTCTGCTGTGATGCCTTTCCAGACCCTGAACTTCCAAACAGTGGTGTTACCTCCAGACTGCAGCTGCGGGAAGGTCAGCACTGTGATGGGAAGCTGACATGCAAGGAGCTGCCTGACTTCCCCTTCTCTGCTTGAGTGGCCAGCTCAGGACCACGTTTCAGACCTCTCAAACCTGGCCGTATTGATTAGACTAGTTAAATGGCAGGCTTGGAATTAGATCGAGATTGCAAATAGGTTTCCTGATGTGCATCTCCCCCTACCCTCGCTTTCCAGTCTCTCTGAGGTCCTTCTTGCTGTGGGAGATCCTGTCTTTCTGGCTGTTCTGGTCTCTTGGGGAGCAGCTGCAGTGTGCCACTGCTATTCTTAGCTGTGAAGACAGCGTGCAAGTACCTGGCCCAGCAGAGCTGGAGCTGGTGCACTGCTATCTGCCCAGCAGATCTCAGATAAATTATCCAGAAGATCTTGGGAGTGTGTAATTGAGTAGCTCTGCCACAGGCTGTGCTTCCAGCTATGTACACTCTGCTGTGCAGCGGGGCTCGGTAATTGCTTGCTCCACAGAAACCAAGAGCTCTGGGTTCGTCTCGAGTGATTGTGCCCTCTTCTCTGAGATTTTGGAGGGACTCCTCAGATTCACTTACTAGATTTCATGCTTCTTCCTTTCCTGGTGGGAGGTTGCACACAGCAAACAATTAAACTCTCTTGGCTGTTTCTCCTATTCTAAAGATCTTTTCCCACCTGGTTTCTGGCACAGTCCGTTCCTCTAACAGAGGAATGAAAAGGTCTTCAGGTGCTGGGGGGAGGCCTGGGGACGTCTTGAGCAGCGACTGGCTTTGTTCAGATCTGGTGTTCATGCCTCAGGAGTGATCTGCTTTCTAACGGCTACCGGTCCAAGGATCTCTTAAGTCTTCTTCAGCACTAACCAAGTCACAAGCTTGATTCTCTGTCAGGCCTTGCCGCTGCCCTGGGATGTGCTAACAGCTACAACAAGCAACGGGGGGGATGCCCCTTGTACAGCACCATGTCCACATCTGTGAGGGTTTTGGGGCAGAACGTGCCATTGCATCTCGCTAACGGGCTTCACAGTTCTGCATGGCCATCTGCTTCTCGCTGGCTCTGTCCCGTCCAGCTCCCGGTGCGCTCCTGCTGCTTGGTCAGCCCCAGCCAGCTTGGCTCTCCCCTTGCTTTCAAAGGAAAAGCTTGGCCTGGGGCCCAGCCAGAGCTGCGTGTTGTACCCAGGTCCCCGAGTGTCAAAGCTGCTGGCACAGGCGCCGCTGGCAGCCGGCCCGGCGGGTCCCTGGCACCAGCGTGAGCGAAAGGCGTGTGGCTGAATGACCTGACTGATCACGCCGTCTCCCTCTCTCTCTGCCCCAGATCGGCGGACCATTCTCTGCCCGGATCTTCCGTTTCCACAGACTTTGGCAGCTGGCAGATGGTGACAGGGTGTGGCAGTATTCGGGAGCAGGCAATCCTGAGCGCAGACGCCTCTCTCCCTTGCAGCTTCCCGGATGAGTTCCCTAGCACTTGCCTGTAAGTGTCTCAAACACGGGATCTCTCCTTGGGTCTCTCAGCTGGCGGCAAGCGCTGGAACTTTGTCACCCTGGCACTTTGGAAGAAGCCTGGGAGCCCGTCACAAGCCGTCCCGTCTTCCTTTCTTTAATGCTTTCCATCCACAAATCAGTCACTGAGTGCTCTTTGCTTACGCTGAACGCAGAAAGAAACCGGCATCTTCTCTGCCTGGTGACGGGGAGGGGGCACTTTGCTTTCTGTAGGAAGAAGAAGCTTTTCTCTCTTCCCTGAAGACACTGAATTTGGGCATAATTGAGTGCATTTGAGGATGCGTGCTTGTCAGGGCAGGACTGGTAACCCAGATTTTCTTGCTTTTGGATCTTGCTCACCTCTTTCTCCCCGCTGGGGTCAGATCCTTGCTGCAGTAAGAGAGGGGCTTTCCTTCTGTCACCCCGATTTTTGTCTGACCACGCACAGCAACATTTGCAAGTGCTGCATCTGGCCAGTGCAGAGCAGCAGACGCCCTGCATCCTGCCACGTAGAATGGCTGGGAGGCAAATGTTCCTCCCCATATAGAAAGCCCCCTCTGTGGAAGCTTGAAAGACAGGAGATGCGCTTTAATTGCTGTTAGAGGAGAACCTTGGCTTGTGCCTTCAGGCTGCAAACTCTCAATCAAGAGACTGAAATGGCGGATGAGGGGCTGCCGCTGGCTACGCTGTGCTGGGGTTGTGCTGCCAAACGCTTGCGGTCTCTTGCCGAGATCCCTGCTTTGGAGGCAGAGGGCAAGCGATGTGGAAACCAGCGTGTCCTGTGAGACGGGCTGGCTGCCCTGGCTCTCCTTCTCGTGGGGCTGTGTGCTGTGCTGCCGAGCAGAGCAGCTGCCCCCACGTTGTTACTGTGAAGCTCCAAGACCCAGGATTTGGCAGATCAAAAATTCACGAGAGATGTCGGACATGGCCTGGCCAGGATTTGCTCTCCTCCTTTCCTGAGGACGTGCCAAGCTGCTCCTGCAGTTGTATGGAGATGGGTGAGGGAGCAGAAGGGACTGAAGGATGGGCATCTGAATTAATGACTGTTTTACTGTGCCCTGAACCTGGCAGTGCTTGGTGGCTGCTGATCACCAGCAAGTTGTTGCTGCCCGTGGAGTTGGATCTAATGTCAGAATGAGAAATTGGGTAGAGAAATGTGATTTGAAGTTGAGCTCTGAATCGCCCTGTTCTGAGACTGTAGACTGGTGCAGTTTGGAGTCTGGCTGCTTGGGACAGCTGGGTCCAAAGGCAGGGGAAGAGCGGGGGTGCTTCTCCCTTGGGTGCGCAGCAGATGCTGCGAGTGCTTTGCCCTGTTCAGCTCTTCACGGGGGCTGTGGGGTGCTCGGGGGCTGGGGACCACTCAACTGCGGGTGCTGGGAGCAGACACTATTTGGAAGGGATGAAGAGTTCCCAGGGATGTCGTGTTGAGCTTGACCCAGGGCCTCCAGTCTCTTCTCTACATCAGCTCTGTTTGCTCGGGAGCCCATTGTGGTTTTATCCCAGTTTTTTTGCAGCCCAGCACAGTATGAGTTTTTGGAAAATTAAATTCTATTTAAGTTCCCACTTTACATCTCAGCTGGCAGCAGCTCGATGAAGGTACGCTTTTCACAGCCTACTTCTTGTGCTTGTGTGGGGCTTGTCAGGGCTTACTTCGAGCTGGGGCTTTGACAGCCTCCTCTCATCCTGCACCCCGAGCGGGCAGGCTGTAGGAAGTGTAGCGGGGCAGGGTGCCATGGATTTGGCAAGGAAGCGCGACCTGCCTCCCTGGCTGAACTGCTCGGAGCGAAACGGTGCCGCAGCCGGTCCACGGGGCTTGGCGTGGGGCAGTGGCTGGTGGCTTGACTCCTTGGAGTGTCTCTCTCCGTGAAAGAAGCCTGTGCATTTAAATACAAAATGTGCCCTGTAAAGGGGCTGTGCGAGGCAGAAGACGGGGACGTAGCTGCCACACGCCCTCGCTTACCTCCGCCTGTGACATCCAAGATCACTGCGCTCGGGTGCAAGTGACTCCCTCTTTCATGTCGCTTATTTTTAATGCTAGCGGGTTTGCGAGTTCCACGTCCCAATTAGGTTGCCAAAAAAGCATCTTTTTCATGTGTTTAGATATGTTGCCTTTTTTCCTTCGCCCTCTGGCTCCTCTTTATTATCCGACGCTGTAAACAGCGGCCTGGTTGGCTGCCTCGGCACCGCTTGCTGTTTATAGGCCTCCCACCATATCCTCTTGCTGCTGTTTCCGGACCGAAGCTGTTGGCTGTGGGTGGTTAACACTTCCATTCAAATGAGCTGTGCCAATTTATAGCCAGCCCAGGCGCTGGAGAGATTAAAGAGAATTTTTGATGGGGAAGGTTCGCGCTGTGCCCTTGGAGTGACCTTTGAGGAACGTCTTCTTCTCTCTGGGAGCCACCGGCACCTCGCAGCGAGGACCGATTCAGGCCGGAGCGCTTGGAACAGCCGCCTCTGGACCTGAGTCTCGCTTTCCCCTGCTCCCTGGATGGAAATACTGCCTTCCCTCTGCTCTCTTCCCTCCCCCCGGCCCCTAACCAGGTGCGTGGATCAGCTGGAGAGGAGAGCAGGTCCTGGGGGACGCCGTGCCCTACTCTGCAGGCAGCCCTCCTGTTCGCAGTGCCAGGGAGCAGAAGTAAAACGCCTCTCAGCATTTCACTTTCCACGCCTGGAGTGCTCCTTGGGGCTTTTGTCACCTTGTCTGCCCCCTCTCGTCCCCCTGCCTTCCCCAAAGTTGTCTGTGCTGGCACAAGGATGAGAGACTGGGGCCCGTGGAAGTGAGGGATGGTCACAAATAGGTTGGAAGGGACTGTCCGGGCACAGCACATGTGGCCGGGCTCCATCTGGGAACGCTGTACGAGGAGGGGAGGGAGCTGGCGCAGGGGCTGACGTCAGCCAGCGCCCGCTTGGCGAAAGCAGCACTTTCTGTAGGAACCCTGGCCTCGTAAGCAGCGTGGTGCTGTGAGAAACTGGGGGGTTTGGTGAAGGAGGAGACCCCGGGGGAGAGCAGGAGGCTGGGGCTGCGAGAGGCCCCATGGGAGAGGGATGGGTGGGTTGCATTGGCTTGGGCAAGGAGGCAGCGGCACCAGCTGCTGTGGCGGAGCCTTTTGGGGCTGGCACTGCCTTGGCCGCTGGAGCCAGCTGAGCACCGTAGCCCTGCTGGTGCTGTGGGCAGAGCGTGTGCCCACCGCTGCCAGCCCCGCTGCCGTTCCTGACCTCCCCTTGCTTTCTCCTTAGGCTGGTGTCGGCGAGCGACCGCGAGTCCCGGCTGGAAGAAGTGCGTTCTGCTTTTCTGGCCAGCTACAGCCGGACCATCGGCCTGAAAGCCGTGCCCCCCAGCCCCTCGGGGGCCATCGGTGGCCTCCTCGAGCAGTTTGTGCGAGGCGTGGGACTGAGAGGCAGCAGCACCCTCTGAGCACGGCGTTCCCGGAACCGCTGGCTGGAGAACCGGGACCCCGCGGGTCCCCCTGGCCAAGCCGGGACCCCCTTCCCGGTGTGGGGCACCCCAGTGTCCATCGCCGTCCACCCCTGCTCGGGGCTGGGGGAGCGCGGGGGGGGCTCCGACGAGTCTCTGCAGTAAAGACACCCGAGCTGTGCCCTCTTCTGCCTCCTCTCTGGGCTGTGGCGGGGGGAAGGCGGGCAGCGGGGCCGGGGGGCGGCGGCGCCGAGGAGCCGGGGCGGCGGGAGCCGTTCCGCCGGGGGCGCCGCTCGCTATAAATAGTCCGACCCACGCTCCGGGAGCGGCGGCACCGAAATAGCACCGGAGCCGGGACCGGGAGGGAGCCCCCCGGCGGGGCGGGAGTCGAGACTGAGCATCCGCCGCAGCGGGCTGGGGAGCGGAGCGGAGCCCGCGTCCCCGACGGGAGGTCCCG